GATGCCAATTCTCCAAAATCTTGTTCAGAAAATAGAAGCAGAGGGAACACTTCTTAACTCATGAAGAGTATGTCCCCAGACATAATCCAGCAATACTGTGTCACCATAAGCAGATAAAGGCAAACTACAAACCAATAGCTCTCACAAGTATTGTAGGAAAAAACTTCAACAAAATATTAGCAAATTTCATCCATCAATGTATAAAATATTATACCCACGACCAAGTGGAATTTATTCCAGTCGTGTAAGGATGGTTTAATATTCCAAATCAATCAATGTAATCCACTATGTCCAGATGCTAAAGAAGAAAAATAAAATGATGATATCAATTGCTATAGAAAATTTATTAGACAAAATCAAACACCCACTCATGTAAAAACTAGAAACAATGAGGAACTTTTTCAACTTGAAGGAAAACATCCACCAATAACTTGTAGCTGATACTATACTTCCTGTTAAGAACATGCAATTTCCCCCTAAGATCAGAGATGTCCCCTTTTAAAACTCCTATTCAACATTGTAGTAAAAGGCATAGTAAATTTTTAAAAAAAAAAGAAAGAAAGAAAAGGAAGTTAAAAGTGTAAAGTTTGGGAAGGAGCAATAACTGTGTTTGTAGAGGACATGATTGTCTATGAAGAAAATCCTAAAGAATTGACTGAAAAAAATCTCCTAAGACTAATAAATAAATATAGCAAGGACGCAAGGTAATATTCAAATGTTAGAATTTTTTGTATATACCACCAATGAAAAATTGGAATTAGATAGTAAATAAAACAATACCATTTACAATAGCACCAATAAAATGAAAACCCTAGGTTTGTACATAAGAAAATATGTACAGGATTTTAATGTAGAAAATTATTCTAGAAAAACAAGAATTTTATTTTACAGAATAAGAGTAACTATTTTGGTGTAAAAGATTCAAAGTCTACTAATCAACTTAAAGTGTTGAACAGTGTGATAAAGGAAAACTCCAGTTAAATGATTTGTTTGAGATGTGAAAACCTAGAACGATATGGTTTTAAATTAAATGCTAACAATTACACAAATATTGATGAAAATGAATTTCAGAATTTAAAAGTAACACTGGTTGAGTGAAATCAGACCCTATGATACCTTATAAAACAGTAAAAAAAAATAATAAGAATAAAACATAGCTTGAATTTTTAGACAGAAAAATCTAAGGAAAATAGTATGGAATTCTAAAAGTTAAAACAGAAAATAAATTATAATAGTAAATGTTATATTATTTAAAACACTAAATGTGAATGAGGTCAGCATCATGGCAGAGTGAGGTAAACTACTTGGTTTCTCCCCTTGAAATTACAACAAGTTGGACAACTCTAATTCCAAAAAGGACTCCCTGCTCAACACACATATATGTCTGTGAGACCCACACTTTGAGACATCTGAAGGTGGGTGTATTGGAACCAACAGAGCAGGCAGGAATGGGGGTAGGACAGAAAGGAGTAGCAGATGCAGCCAGGAACTTGGTGGGGCCTCAGAAGACATGGTAACAGATGAAGAATTGAAATGCAGGGCCTGAGGAGCAGAAGCAACATTTCCGGTCTGGGTGGCTAGCACACACATGGTGAACCCATTGCAAATGGTGGATATTCAACAGAGAGGTGTGGCAGCTGCAGTACCGAAGCTGCCATTACCAGCCAGAAAACAAAGCCACAGATGTGCACACCCACTTCCCTTCACCCTCCCAGAGCTTGCAACAGCACCAGGGTGTCAGGACACAATGCACACGCTCAGCAGCTTGGATGCCCTGAGAAGCAAAACCCTCCTTCTGGCCAGAGGGGCCAGAGCACTTGATAACTAAACCCAGAGACAGGAGCAGAGATGCAGAGATGTGGCAGCAAGTTCTGGCAGTCGCTGTTACTAGGAAAAGAATACAGGCACA